GGGGTGAACATGTGTGGCATCTTATTTTTCCTCTATTCCTCATTTTTGTTATTTACGGAACGGTCTAAGCTCTTGGGCGGCGGTTTTCCTTATTTTAGATCAGGATTTCCACTTTTTCCCTTCACTGAGGATATTGTTTTCATAACACAGTAGAGCTATGAATATCAGATGACTACTGTATTCTAATAGCGTAGACAGTACAAGACTACTGGCAATTAGAAGTAAAAAAAGTATGGTACGAAACGTCTGTAAAACCTACGCAAAGACATGATGATATGGATCGGATCACGCTTTTTTCACTTTCATCCTTAATGTATCATTTTCAATTTCGTTTGCTTCCAATACTTTGTTGAAACATTTCATGACTTTTAGCATTTTAGTCTTTGTAATTTTCCTCTAGTCTCACGACATTTAACATCCTCTTCGCTTTTCGCGGGTAAGTTAAATTAAATTTGTTAAATGATTTGAAAACGAAATAAAATAATTACAACGGTGAACACATTGCCTTGAAGTTGCTAAAATTTCTAGTGACAACCAAAGGAAGTTCCTCTTTCCACACGTTAAAGGACCCTTAAAAATTCATGTATTTCTATCACGTCTTCAGTCCAAAAAACACCTTTGATGAGATATTTACATAACCCTTGGTATGTAGCTACCCCTCAATCTTCTTATCTTAAAATTATATATTTGGCAGAAATAAATCCATTTTTTCGCATCTGTGGACGTCAGCATATTATTTACTAACCATTATTTACAGATGTCCGCGAATTTTTTAAAGTGTTTTAAACGGAAAATATTGGGACATTATGCCCTCTTGGTGTGTTGCCAAAACAATTAATATTCTGCATCAGTATTTGCTTTAAGGCAGTCGCGCGTATACTTGATGACCTTACAATGTGGAAACCGGTGTGGATCCGCGCCTGCACGTATTTGTACCTGTGATTCTGTCCCTTTTTTAAATTCTTTTTCGGGGGCCGGGGGAAGCTTTGGGGGTCCCCTCTATAACTTTAAAACCGCTCATGATACGGCCACCAAAATACAAAATAATGTATTCATCATTTCAAACATCTGAGTTTAACTTTGTTGACATAATGACTCAATATCATGCCATTATGACGTCATATCACTGGATCAAGTCTCATCAATGTTTCCCTAAAAGTACCCATAGTGCGAAAATTCCTTAAATAGAAAGGTGGCTTACAAAATCATGGAGATGGTTAGCACATTGATAGTCTTCAACCAGTGACATCACGATGACGTCAATTTATTATTAAAGAAGGAACTGGAATTATCAGCCATCTTGGACCTTCCATTTTGAATTAAATTAAGTCTTCAACCATAGCAGTGACGTCACAATGACGTCAAACTATTATTAAAGAAGGAACTGGAATCATCCGCCATCTTGGACCTTCCCTTTTGAATTAATTAAGGTGGCTCTTACTAGTTTTCAGCTTTTGACTCTTCAATTTTGCTTAAAACTAGCGTGTATATAAATCGAGGTAATGGTATGTATAAAAAATTCGTCTCGGAAAGTAATGAAAATTACGAGACAATTATGGGCACTGTTGAAGATTGAACCCAACATGTGCCTTTTGGTCATCTTGATTGAATGTCTTTCTCAAATTAGTCACTAAAAAGCCTGGAATACTTAAACAGTTAAAATAATGATAAATAAAATTGTAAGATGACAATTCAATAATAAAATGTAGAAATCAGAGTACAGCATTTTTATCGAAAAACTGCAAATTTTCTTGATATCTTCTTCATTTTCAATAGCATTTGTGTATGGGTACAGCGACTAAAATATAAGTGAATGACTTAGAAAAGGATTGACCTTACACAGGAATATCCTCGAGCCTCCTTAAGTAGTCCTCAGCCGCATTGTGACGAGTAGAGGATGTGGTTACTACGAGATACTATGAAGTCATATGGCCGGTCAAATATAACAAACCTATTCACTTTCATTTACTGATTTTAAATATGTCTAATAACACATTTTGTAATCAACAGAATAAAAATGTCAAAATATGTTACAAAACCGTTCACAGGATTAATTTCAAGCTCATATTGAAAGCACAGCCTTAGTTGAGAACTTGCCCAGGAACGATCATGAGACAACGAGAAACTGTGCAGGAGAAATGTCGAGTATTGCAAAAATTTTGGGCAGACAAGTTCCTCATTTTTTCTCATTTTCCTCTTTACAAGTAATCTTTGAAAGTCTATTGTTGAAAAATACAATACAGTATTGTTTCCAAAACAGTATAAAAGAAACTAAAATGTTGAATCAAATATTTATAGTCGCCAGCTCAGAAAGGGAACAAGTATACACAAGGTAGGTCTACATATTCACAAATGAAAGTCGCTTTTTTAAAACCGCTTTTATTCTAACTCTTTGGGAAAGGTTTAAAACATATTTCAAGCTGAAGCTGTGGCATTAAGATCAAGATTTGTCATAAGTGTAGATTACCCTCATCTTCATCCATGGTCAGAGAGGGGAACCCCTGCGTAAATCGTTTTTCTTTTAATTCCTAAAACTAGGTTAAAATTTGTAAAGTTTAAGATAGAAAACGACTATTTCAGCCACAAACTGATAGTTTTTCCCAGTCTTAATCGAGAATAAAAAAAGTAACTTCACTAGCTCGAGCGACCTTTTGTTAAACGTATTTTATTGTGGCAAGAAAACGTTAGGTTCGAATCACGCTTTTTCACTTTCATCCGTAAGGTATCATTTTCAATTTCGTTCCCTTCCAACACTTTGTGGAAACTTTTTATGACTTTTAGCATTAGAGTCTTAGTTAGTAGTTTTCCTCCAGTCTCACGATATTTAACCTCTTCTTTGCTTTTAGCGGGTAAGTTAAATTAATTTTGTTACCTGATTCGAAAACGAAATAAAATAATTTAAATGGTGAACACACTTCGTTGAAGTTGCTGAAATTTCTAGTGACACCAAAGGAAGTTCCTCTTTCCACACGTTAAAGGACCCTTAAAAATTCATGTGTTTCTGTCACGTCTTCAGTCCAAAAACACCTTTGATGAGACATTTACATAACCCTCGGTATGAAGCTACCCCTCAATCTCCTTATCCTAAAATTATATATTTGGCAGAAATAGATTTATTTTTCCACATCTGTGTAGTTAGCGTATTGTTTACTAACCATTATTTACATTTCTGCAGGTCTCACATAACACATGGCTGGTGCCGCGTTTATTAGGCTAGGCTTGATAATCTCGTCAATTCTCTCTATATGCGATGCTAAAGGTACTATTTACTGACTATTAGAATGTCAATAATTATAAAAAAGAGAGGTCGAAAAATAGAAATATGCTTTAAAATGTCACTTCTAAACAGGACTACTAACAAATATTTTTAGAGGAAAAAAAAGTAAATCATACTTTAAAATACTCAAAAATATTTCCAACAAGCAGACAAAATGAAATCAAAGCAGAAGTATTGACACTTAAATGGCTGTTGAATGAAATATATTTTTGCGTAATAACTTTGGGTGGGAATTGACGAAGAAAAATGTAACCCCAATACTCAAGTATAAACGGAAAGGCATCAGATTAGAGTTTTATTACAAACCACTTTCACCTCGCACCCACTGAATGTAGTCAGTTATTGAAATGTTGATTTAGTGCTTTCAGAGGAAGAACCACACAACGTTAGGCTAAATCCCACGGATGTTCAACGAGTGGTAACTGGGTGGGTGGGTGACCCGTTCTGCCTTCCTCATTGGCACTCATGTTTTAGAATGAGTGGAGGAAAAAGTTACGTCGCTATTTATTGTTAACCTGTGGCCTGCCTCTTCGGATTATCGCCCATAGGGTCCTGTACTTGATCCCTGTCTTGGTAATTCTTGTGTTCCACGAGTATAAGCGCAGAGGTCCAGTATTCGGGCTTTGTATTCGAGCATTGTGATGAATATTGGCGTTCGGTAATAACTCTCAGTGTGAATTTAAAAAAGTCAACCCAATATATCGAGGAAAACCCTCAGATTAGCTTAATATTTCTTAGACAATCAATTGGTTATTATTCGGCGGCATTGCGGAAAAAAAAAAAAAAGGGTTCTAACAATAAGTAAATGGGGCATGTACTTGGTGTATAACAAAAGACTAAAAAAAAGTAAAAAAGAAAATAATAGATGTATATTTTTTCTTTCATTTATTACAAAAGAGAGAGCCTCTGTACAAATATATGCCAATTGTGGGTATTGATTCTGCTCGTAATGAGAACAATGCAAAACTGATATTGTAACTATAGGAGCGAGATTTTTCTGATCGAGAACCCCTGTAAGAATGTAGCATCACAATGAAATCGTTTCGGTTTAAATCCTGAAGTACAAAGAAGGCGGACAAAGTATTTTTCTAAACGCAAAACCGACCGAATGCGACTGCTAACAGCTTAATTTTAAATGATGTACAGCCATTTAGAAATACAAAATAAATTCTCTTCTGACAGAGACAGCCAACACTCCGATTGGCTGAGAGGTGTGTTTGGTAAACTTTATGAAAGCAATGTGCTTTATAATTTACTATGCACAAGCTAATCTCAAGCAAGCGGGGATTTTTAAAAAAAAGGTTTTGAAGTTGAAAACTCTTGATTTTTACCTCATTTACCCACTTCTTCGACGGCTGCAACGTGAGAATTATTTTAACAAACATGCTGTATAACGGCGAGTGTGATGTCACAAAGTAAAAAACTCCATTACTCCTCCAAAAAGAAAGTATGGATCTAATTCTATTGCCCAGCTTATTTTCTAATAACACTGCAATGCAAAATATCCAGATTATAAAGAGAGCCATTCGCGACCGTTTCATTTACAGCGAGATTGTTTTTTGTTTTTTTTTATCAAACGTGATTCTTGTCGAACGTGTTCAAATCATCACTAAGGTAACGAAACGTTACAAAAAAGGTAGTCCATCTATATATCTAGGAGGTTTTTTTTATAACTTTTCGAAATCTTGTCAGTGTTGAGATTTGATGTAATTATCTTTATTTAGTTGCAGTTTCTTCGCTCGGCTGCTATGAAGAGCAGTTTTATAGCCCCTTGTTCAAAAAGGTGTACCTAGATTATAGAAGTCAAATAGACTGGAACAAATATCCCGACATGAGTCACGTGATCCAGGCTTGTGCTCAGGCTGCAGTGGCGAGGCAATACACATACTTTGCTATAACAAACTATGGTGTGTGTGTTTGGGGTCCTGACGGGCTTAACGTAATCAGTACAAGGGAACTAAACTCGTGGTGTTTTGCCGGTCTTGGAGGACTGTGGTTAGTGTCCGTATACAAGATTAAAAGCTCAGCTGCAGGTACTGCTTGGCGTTCACTGTCTTTACTACGAACAGTGTCTCACGATCATCTATTTTTTAAATCATTTCTTGATTTCTGATAGGCGAAACGTTTTAATGTAGACTTCTTTCCCCTACCATGATGCATTTTTATTTATTTCCAGTGGCTACAATAGGATCAGGCAGTGTTAGCCGCGGCTCGTTCGCGATCATGAAAACAGCTGTGAAAAGTCCTGTTTACCTCTTGTGACTTTGAAATAAATTCGTGCATGATAATCCCAAATATTGCTCACACCCTCTTAGAACAAAGAAGAAACGTGACTTTTCACAGTCTATTCTTTCAGTAATCAAGGCATATCATTCCATAACCCTGATATAGTAGTAATGAACAGACTTAGTTTCTCAAAGTTTTCAACTGATTATAGCTCTCTTGCTTTTGTTAAGAACGAAGAACTCCGGTATATTTTTGTGAGAATTGCGCGCGTCAAACGTCTCAAGAAGCGTTTAGCTACAGAAAGGAATATATCTTTAAGAGCTGGGGAAAAAATACGAAAAGGAAGAGGATCGAAATAAACTACAAAAAAACTAAGAGGAACATTCTACTCACATTAAAACCTTTAAATTGTATTCTGCTAGTCGATGGCGGTTGGTCTGAATGGGGATCCTGGACAAGCTGTAGTCACACATGTGGTGGTGGATCACAAACACGCATGCGCACTTGCACCAATCCACCTCCCTCTGGGGGTGGTGCAGACTGTCAAGGTGGTAATTCCCAGTCCCAATCCTGCAACACGGATGGATGCACAGGTTAGATTTACCAACAAATAGTATACCACAAAAGATAAATGTTAAGTTTAGCTTTCGGACCTTTTTCAATTTTGAAGTTACCGCTTCGATATAGTTGGGACTCCCCCGAAATTCTAGAATAGGCTTATTTTTGGGGAAGCCCCAAAGTGTACTTTGAATGGTTTGTTTACATTTAATATTCATATTCTTTCCAAGCTCTTTTCGAATGGAACGAGTGGAAGTAGGAGATAAAGGGAGTGTGAGATTCGAGAGTCAAAATTTTAAGAGTTGCAAATTATTTAAAGCATTTTCGGTTACAGCGACCATATAAGGCCTTTTTTTTTCCCAGACTATATCCGACATGAAAATGTATTTTTCAGTCATTATCAATTTCGATGAAAGTCCCTGTGCATGTTTCCACTCATTTGATATAAATATACCCATACAAAAGGAGAACATGATTGAGCGTTATGTTATGGTCGCAGGTTCGATTCCCGAGGCCGCATCGTACCATTACTCAGGGTCTTAAAAAATAACTCCCATATATTGCACTCCAAGCGACTGGACCTTCGAGTAACTCGGATGACCACGTAAAATGGTTTTCCCGTCTCCAGTAGGAGACGAAAAAATAGTGTCCCTATTTAGTATTTTCGTATACATTGACAATCAAATAACGCGCACTTTTTTATGTTGATTCATACAACCCGAGTGCAAGTTACTCTTTTTTATTTGTTTGTTTGTTTGTTTATTTTTGTTGTTGTTGTTTTATAGTTGATGGCAGTTGGTCTGAGTGGGGTGTCTGGGGTAGCTGTAGTCAGACCTGTGGCGGTGGATCACAAACGCGCATGCGTACTTGCACTAATCCACCCCCATCTGGAGGTGGTACTGGATGTTCAGGAGGCAGTTCCCAGTCCCAATCTTGCAACACACATCAATGCGTGGGTAAGCAATGCCCAATGACATAGCCTGTGTAACAGGCACCGGTTTTTTTTTTTTTTGTTTTTTTGTTTATTTTTGTTGTTGTTGTTTTATAGTTGATGGCAATTGGTCTGAGTGGGGTGTCTGGGGTAGCTGTAGTCAGACCTGTGGCGGTGGATCACAAACGCGCATACGTACTTGCACTAATCCAGCCTCATCTGGAGGTGGTGCTGGATGTTCAGGAAGCAGTTCCCAGTCCCAATTTTGCAACACACACCTATGCGTAGGTAAGCAATGCGCAATTATATAGCCTGTGTAACAGGCACCGGTCAGTTTTCTTGTTTTTTTTTTTTGTTTTCATAGAGCGCACTAATTTGCGCGCGAGTCCTCGATATTTCTCTTTTTATTTCGCCGAAGAAAGGACCTGCGCATGTTCACATTATGTAGCATTCAGAGGACAAATACGTGGCACATTTTCTAACAATAGTAACGTCAGCGGTTTGAATGCGCCACTTCAAGCGTTAATCCAAAGGCTTCGAAAGAAACGTTGTTGAAAGAGGCATTGAAATTAACTTTTAACTGAGAACAACAAAAAAATTAAAATTAACATAAGGAAGAAGCGAATAGCAACTCACTTAAAAATTCCACTAAATCACATCTGAAACTAATCAACAAATATTTTGAATCAATTGATCAATAAAAAAGGCTATTTGTTTTCATTCTTATTCCTTTCTTCTGTTTCTTCTTCTTCTTCTTCTCATTATTATTATTCATTCGTTTTTTTTTTCTTCTATATGTCAAGTTAATGGTGGATGGTCAGTCTGGGGAAGCTGGAGTGGCTGCTCTGTCACTTGCGGTGGAGGGTCACAAACACGCATGCGCAGTTGTACAAATCCGTCCCCGGCTGGAGGTGGAGCCGACTGTCAAGGAATCAGTTCCCAGTCGCAATCCTGCAACAGCATGGTTTGCCCAGGTGAGTGATGTATTCCATTTAAGGTGGCCAATATCGTGACTAAGGTGCAATTCTAATTAGAATTGGAAGAAAAAAAGAGAAGGCGCAAAAACAAACAAACAAATTTGTGAGAAATTCAGCATTTTATAGCAGGTTTCTTTCCTTTCCTTTTTCTTTCTTTCTTTTTCTTTCTTTTTTTTTTTTTTACATTTTTATTTCTTTTGTGGAGAGTGAGGGACGGGTGAAGGGGGAGGATGGTTGGGAAAGTTGGAGTGAAGTGTATTCTTAACAGGAGATTTCAAGGGCGCATGGCAGTCGTCTTATAGCACCTGACCTTCTACCACGATTGCCACATAACAAAAACTTGTTTTGATTTTAGTCAACGGCGGATGGTCGCTTTGGGGAGTTTGGGGCTCTTGTAGTCAGACTTGTGGTGGTGGATCACAATCACGAATGCGTAGCTGTACGAATCCTCCTCCATCCGGGGGCGGTGCCAAATGCCAAGGCTCTAGTTCTCAGTCTCAATCGTGCAATACTCATCGATGTCCAGGTAATTGAAGCACCATTAAGTTATTATAATAGAGCGTTGTCACTCACGTGGCCAGCAGATTTGTAAATGTATTGGTACAAGAGAAAGTTTTTACACAAGTGAAAGGTTCACCTCCCACACGACTGGTTTGGAACAACAAAATGGCCGCCTTTTCGCACTTGACGTGACGTCACGTGAAACTGCTCTATAATTTGATTATTGCGAAATACCAACAGCCAATCGGTTGCCATTTTGAAGGCAGCCTACTAAAAAAAACATGAGAAAAAAAATCCGACCATTAGAAGGTCAAAAATATTTCACTAGCAGCTTATTTAAGTTTTGATCAAACTTCCTTCCCCCCACCATTTTTTTTAATTTTTCAGGCTGTCAAGAGGGGAGCTCTGTACAAGATCAGTGTGGTCAGCGGTGCACTTGCACTGGTGGTCAATTAGTGAACTGCGTCCGGATAAGAAAAGAATTTACCGACATGACGCTTGAGGAACGAAGGCTTTATATAAAAACCATTAAGACAGCATCCACCGATCCGAGATTCAAGACGGATTATGATAACCTTCTCAACTCTCACCGCATCTTGTTCCTCTCAGGTCTGTGCACGCCACTTATTCCTCTTGTTACCGTTTAACCATCTGATTAACAAAACTCGTTATGTCTACCTTAAAGGCCATGTCCATACTATATTGGATAGCTCTTGCGCCGAAACACAGACCGTACTTGAGCGCTTTTCAATTGAGTGTCGGAAACCAAAACCAAAGTAATCACAACGGCCAATCAGAGTAAAGGAAATTACCAGAGGGAGCCAATGGCAACTTGAAGTAAACGCGTGTAACCGGCCTGTAGCGCGGGAAAACGCGAGTGACCAAGGAGCGATTGGTTTTAGTTTACATCTGATTGGCTGAGAGGGTGGCGCGAGTTTTCTAGACCAACCAAACAGCACAGTAAAGCAAAACCAATTCAATCCTGGATTACTTTCAACACTCAATTGAAAATTGCTCCAAAAAGGGTTTTGTTCACTCGTAAGAACGGTTATTTCAGCACGATTTTTGTAACGAAGCAAAGCTGCCCGCCGCGTCAATCTCTTAATGAGAGCGTTTTATATATCGGATGGGTTTCTGTACCTCACACTGGTGCAGCGTCAACAGATATTCGGACCGTGAATGAGGCCCATCTAGACGGCAGAATATTTGAGGCGACGTTTATGACCCTTTGATACTTAACCTTAATACATACGGTAACCTTAACCCCTCCTGTTCTTTGATTGTTTGTTCCTTTTTGGTTTGTTTGTTTGTTTGTTTTTTTTTTTTTTGGTGTGTGTGTTATAATATTTTGCATAAATTAAACTTTTAATAGATAGCAGGTGAAGGTATGTAATATAAGTTTTACAGGATGCTACGCCTCTACACCTATCACGTCACCTATCATGATATTGCTTTTGGTATTGTTTCATCCGTTTTGAGTACCGAAAAAGAAGGGGGAAAAATCGCATTTTTTGTTTGATAAAGGCTCACACTCATACAAGTTACAACGTAACGTATTATCTTGCATTCAAGCTCTCAAAAACGTTAGTTCTACATGTATATGGCATACGTTTTAGTTGTTCTTTTCTATGCTTCCACAGGAATCCACCAACGAGATCATTTCCTTACTTGGCATCGCTGGTTCATTCTTCAGTACGAAAATCTTCTCCGTCAAGTCGACTGTACTTTTACCATTGCCTACTGGGACTGGAGTGCTGTATCCAGTAATCCGTTCAGCACGGCAAATCGAAGTGACCTATGGCACAGCGCAGACACTGGTTTCGGCGGGGATGGAGGTGGAATGTCGTTTTGTGTTCAGACTGGTCCTTTCAGAGAGAATGAATGGAGTATTGTGCCACTTCCGGCGGGAAGTCCTCCGGAGCCGGGTCCGCGCTGTTTGGTCCGGATGTTCAATGGAAATCCCCCGGATACAGTAGCTGTAGAGAGAGTATTGAAAACGGAAGTGGCTAACTTCACCGATTTCGAACTCATGCTACGAATAAATCTCCACGATTTAGTTCATTGTTTGATTGATGGAACAATGTGTTCCATTGATTCCGCTGCAGCTCCAGAGTTCTTCCTTCATCATGGTTTTATTGATAAGATATGGGATGACTGGCAGAAAAAGAGCGAAGCTCACAAGAATGTTTTCTTTTCGACAATCAATCAAAACATGCCGGGTACCCAACTTCTACCTCGAGCGGTCATCGATCTTTCTTCTCAGCCAGGAGGCGTAATCGTCGAATATCTAGCACCCCGCGCTTCTACCAGTGCTGATAACCTTCCAAGAGGTAAGATTAGTGAATGTTTTAATTTCTCGGTACTGCAATAGATTTCCGATGTTAGAGTCGAACTATTCACAAAATGGTCCTGTAGGTCAACTATGAAGTACCGAGCAAATGATTAACCCTACCCTCCCTGTAATTTGAGGGGAGGCTTTGAAGACCTCCCTCTATAACTTTAAAACCACTTATGTTACGGCCAGCAAAGTTACACAGCAAAATGAACTCATTGTTTCCAACACCTATAAAGTATAACTTGATTGACGCATTTGACGTCATAATGACGTCATATTGTTAAATTTATCGGATGAACTCGAATTTCATCAAAATTTCCGTTTAAGGTAGTAATAAAGCGAAAGTGGTTGTAAAAATTTTGCTTCATGCAGGGATTACATTTCAGTTCAGCAACACTCTCACTGTCAGTTTCCTTCCGTGTATAATTGTTCAAAGAATTTATGTTTTAACCCTTTCATTTATTTTTTTGCTATTCAATTACTTATTTTATCAAACCCTATTGTTACCAGCAAATCATCTCTCATACATGTCTAACACTGTATCACTGATCATATATTGGTACCATTATACCTAGGCTTTAGATTGAGTAAACTGAAAAGACTACGAAGACGTAGACGCAGGCGATTCTCACAGCTGAGGGACAAGGTTTTCAAGGTTTTCCATCTCAAGAAATCTGAGATTAGAAAAGCAAAAGAATTCGAGAAGATGCTGCAACCAAAGAATTAACAGCGCTTCATATAACTGGTGAGAAGTGATGAGGATGACGATGATATTGAAGATGACGACAATGATAATAAATATAAACAAAGAGTTTATAGAAGGGTTTACGTTACTATTTTATGCAGTGTACTTTCACGACACAAAACGCGCACAAACTTATATCATTATGACAAATAAAATAAATCAGTTGCTTGAAAGACTGAGATGAGCATTGTTTTGGGGTATATAAAGGCGAAGATCCAAGTATACAGTTCATATAAACCGCCCTTTCTAATCCAGTCTTCGATTCGGGATTCCAGTCTGTGAATTCCGTACTCCATACACTGGATTCCAGATTTCCTGTCAATGGAATTCTTACCGTGAGTGGAATTTTGGATTCCATGAGCTGAAACGCGATTCCAAGACCAAGGAATGAGGATTCCACATGCTATTTTTTTTTTGTTTTTAGAATACAGAATCCGAATACCTTTACATGGGCCGAATATAAAGGTGAAACATTTTCCTCCTCACTTAGGAAGGTGTTGTGAAATGTCATGATCCCAGCAAGTCAATTCCTTACAAATGAATTTTACTTCCAACCTGATTACGATTTTGTTACAAATTCAGTAAGAACTTTTTTCCTAGCGATCAGCAAACACCGACAAGCCAGATTTTGTCTCTTACTTAGCATTTATTGGTGTAGCTGCTTCATTTACCGTTAAAATTTCATCTTTCAATCGAAACTGTCGCGAAACAAGACGCATTTTGAATCCCGTCCCGGCCTTGGCCCCCAGTTCAAGTCCCGCTCTGACCGCTTGCTGGATTTGTTCACGGTAGTCCCGAGTTCAAATCCTGCGCCACGCTTGTAAATAACCGGCTGGGATTCTTAACCCTGTTAAGTTTGATTTGAATTATTTATTTGCTCGGCCCCACTAGCATAAGTGCTAAGTACTAACGAGGGTAAATAAAGGAAATTATTATTATTAAAGATATTCAGAGAGGCTTGATGTGAATACGCGGCTGCTAATTAAAAAGTATTATGGTATACTTAATTATCATCACAAACACATTCTAGAAGATAGCAAAAATTATACTGACCCAGCTACAATTCCAGAATAACTATTGCGAATTTTGCAGCAAAAGAAAAATTTATTTGAGGTCGTTGAAACCACCATCGAAACCGTCGAAATAAACTCAAAACTAAAACGTATTTGAAATCGTTGGCATAGCTTACCTTCAAGTTCACACGACGAGGTTAACGTTTCTTTCGCTGAAAGAAAACAACGGCGAATTGACAGACCAGAAACGAATGCTCCCGTCCACAAAACTGGTCAGAAACAAGTTTCATCCCCCATTGGTCATGTATTCTCAATTTCTCTCCGGTTTTTTCCATACGTTGTAGTAAGACCTGACTGAAATGTTTTAAAACCTTTGAACCGCGTGCACTTTCCCTTTTTCCAATAGACCCTTTTCACTTCATTGTTTTGTTGTCCAGTGTGTATCATGTGACGGTACCTAAGGGAATAATTGCAGATATTGACTTGCACGTACGCATATTTCTATTCATCGACAAAAACAAATCAAATCTCCTGAGAAAATAAATTGATCTGCGCTAGCATTAATTAACATAAAAAAAATACAATACTACGGAACAATTTTCCCTCTGCAATCTCGCTCATAATAAGTGTATAAATTTTTGCGCTGTTCTTATTTTTATTCATTTTCTTTTTTACATAACGCTATTTTAAGAAAGCAATTTCTAGGACCCGGTTTAAATGGATTCAATTGGGTCAGTCAGGGGCAGGGGATGTTGATCATCCTTAGGATTAATAGATATTCCCAATATCAGGGGCACTCAACGTCAATTTTCGGAAAATATCTTTTCGGAAGACGATTTGAGGTCTAGAATTTTTGGAACACTTGTTGTAAAATTTCTTGCTTGCCTGCCTCTCCTAGGATTTTCAGACATCTAAAAAGATGGTATAATTGCCCATTTTTAACGGATTTTTACCCTAAAAAGGTCACCTAGAATTTTCGGGACCCTCTTTTTCTAGCTGAAATTTTCGAAAATGTAAGTTTTGATCCCTATAATTTTCAGATCACTAGACTTTCAGCTAGGAAATCCGAACAGATGAAAAATTTTTAGGGGATAAAAATATGCCTGTATCTACCGTTTAAATACTAAAAGACGTTCAACAACGCTATATTTAAGTGGTTTTGAACTGTATTCTCGATGGGTGCCCCTTAAGGATCAGTGTAGTGTCAGTCTCCCCATGTAAGGGAATCCAAGACAGTCTTTAGATTCTTGATTTTACGCCGTGGATTCCGGATTTTTGGACAGTGGAACTTGGATTCCAGGTTCCAATCCTTAGTGGGATCCGGATTCCTTGAGCTGTATTCCCCATTCCCAAAGCTCAAGGTTCCGGATTCCTCGAGCAAATATTTCCCGGATTCCGGAAACGCAGGACGAAGTGTTATTCAGTTTTCTCAAGACGCAAGAACACGTTAAGCAGGTAAATAAGTCCTACTTTAAAGTAAACGTGTTTATGAAGCCCTCTTGGTCATGCTTAGCTTATTTACTTGAAGTTGCATATTGTGACCTCATCTAATGAAACTACAACAGTTTTCTTACCCTTCGATCTTAGGAGAAACCGGTGGCCATAGGTATGGCTCAATCAGCTTTGGGACGGTTTCTGTGGTTCTTTGTTGGTTCTACTGGTGGCATCTTCCATTCAATTGACCATTAATCCTAAGTGACTACGCGCTTACAATTGTTGTAATTTAAAATTAAACAGAAAATGACAGGTTACATTTGTAGGCAGTTGTGTCCGCTTGGTCTGGCTATCCCGCTAAAAGAACTAAAAGAACTTTGTTTTTGATATTTATTTAAGGTAAGTTACTATTTTTAAAGGTAAGGTATGTGTGTTGTTTATACCTTTCCTCTCTGCGTACTGTTTTCCTTGTCTTTCTCCTGATTGTAAATAATCAGTCAAGTTTTTTTTTTTCGATAACTGCACATCCGTGAATTACATTACGTGACCGATCAGGCGTTAATGAATCAATTCAATACGAAGTGGCCAATGTAAAGTCAAGAATCGACGGATCATTTTGAAGGCATCAATGATTTCACAAAAACTCCTTCAAAAATAAAAAGAGCGAAAGAAAAGAAAAAGAAAAAGAAATTAGTGCCTCTTATCATTTTACTGTTAAAAACAAATCGCTATTTTTGCTCGCCGCAACAACTGGGTCGTCAACCGTACTCCAAGGCTATACCACTTTTAAGAGAGATTTTCACTTCACATGTATTTGTTTTTGTGCGAAAGAAAAAGCAACTGTAACAGTACCAAAACGAGCAAATATTTGATTATTACACGTTCCATAACTCAAGCGGAACATTACTGAATAAATGTAAATTTTCAGCGCAATCAAAGATGGTCGCAATATTAATATTTTTATATACCGTTGCATGTAGTGTTCCTGTGCGAGATATCCCACAGGTTTCGCCACTTGTAAGGGAATTTAAAGTCTTGGATTCTGGATTCCAAGCTATGGATTCCCGATTCCAGGTACATGATTCCACAATCTTTCATTCCGGATTCCAATCGCTACTGTGGGATTTCGGATTCTTTGAGCTTTTTCTGGATACCAAAGTCCAGGATCCCGGATTCCACAAGGAAAAACTTGCGGGACTCCGGAATCCCGACTCCCTTACATGGGGCGACAGGTTTCTTTTTCTTGAAGTAACATACTAGAAATTATAAATACTTAGTTTAAATTCCCCTTCTGGAAATAACTGAAAATAGCCCAATATTCGATAACTGAATCACAAATTTCAGTTGACAATAGTGGGCGATTTAATTTATTCAAGTTTAGAAATGTAAATTTTCTGCGAATGCATCAACGGTTTACTTCATAAATTACATCAGTATAAATTTTAAATTTGCAGACCTTTTTGGTTTTACATTTCCTGATTCCCAATTACGGGCCTATTGTGTGCAAATTGAGATTTTCTCCGCAAAAAGAATACTATACGGGGGCAATACATAAATGTCTCTTCGAGTCTTGGTCTTTGAGCCAAATCCCTGTGAGTGTAAGAAATTTGGCAAGGCCTAAAAGCGGAGCTACCACATAAGACTGTGTGAATTGAAAGTTATTATCTGTTTACTTTTAGTTCTGTTGCAGAATGAAAATAACTGGAATACTTTTGACATTGCTCTTTGGAAAATGCTCAGCACTGGGTAAGAAAGAATTAGCAGGACGCATGTAGTAAAAGACATGATAAAACTAAGCCAATTTTGTCGTTGTCGTATTCATTGGTATTTGTACCTTTATGATTTAACATTATCATTTTGCACTATCATCAGTCGTCATCATCAGCATCATCATCATCATCATCATCATCATCATCCTTGTCATTGTTATTATTAATATTATTGCTATCATAATTTATATTAATTCTATATGTGACCATTCAATAATTATTTACTTAGGCCCATTATATGATAATAGCCACTGAGATAGGCATAATTGTTGAGCTCCTACGAAAACCAAACGCAATAATTGTTTTACAATTCATTCAAAGTATTTCTAAGATCTTAACAACCTTACATCCTAGACGTTCGTCAGAAAATTTTGCTTGTTTTCGGCACAATTACCGAATATGTACAGTTGCTTTCTTGCAGATACTTCTCAAAAGGACTGATGAGTTCAATCGGGCGATTTTTTTTTGGCGTGTTTTTGTATTTGTCCCGTTTAGTTTAAATCAGTAATTCGGCTATTTCCTCTTCGAATTACCGTGGATTATTTCGAAACGAATTTGATTTCATTAATGCTATAAAAACTCGTGTCTCCTTCCCGTTTGCTGTAAACAACGGCTTACATATTGCTCGCATCTCCCACATGAACACAGCGTCAGCTGGATGTGAACAATTCACCATTTTCGCATTACCCATAATACACCTTATTCAACTCTCCAGAAAGACTATTCATAACCATTTTATTCAATTAATCCTGGGACGACTGTTATA